GGGTACCGTTTGACAGTGGCTGAACATGAGCCAGCAGTGCCAGGAGGCCAAGGAAGGCCAGTGGCATCTTGGCCTGTACCAGTCATAGTGAGTCCAACAGAACTAGGGAAGTGATTGTCCTGCTGTAGGGAAATGAGAGTGCTGCTGTACTTGGCACTGATGAGACTGCACCTGGAGTACTGTGTTCAGTTTTGGGCCCCTAACTTCAAAAAGGACATTGAGGTAGGTGTTAGAGCATATCCAGAGAAAGGCAACAGTGCTGTTGATGGCTCTGGAGCACAAGTCTGATGAGGAGGGAGTTGGGGGTGTTTAGTCTGGAGAAAAGAAGGCTCAGGAGGGAACCTCACTGCTCTCTACAACTACCTAAAAGGAGATTGTAGTGAGGTGGGGGTCAATCTCTTCTGCCATATCTCAAGTGAAAGGACCAGAGGAAATGGCCTTAAGTTGCACCAGGTAGGTGCAGATTAGACATTAGAAAAAAACATTTCACTTAAAGAGTGGCTAAGCATTGGAATAAGTTGCCCAGGGAGTTGCTCTGGAGTGTTCAAGAGGCATATGGATATGGCACTTGGGGATATGGTTAAGAGGTGATTATGGTGGTGCTCGGTTGATAGTTGGACTAGGTGATCCTAGAGGTCTCTTCCAACCTTCATGATTCTGTGATTCTGTGATCTCAGCCGGACCCAGCACACTATTATTACTATTGTACAATACACAGTAAAGTTTAAAATTATCCATCACTCATGTGAACCATGGCCTCTGCCATGAGATCTGCACCAATGCAAGACTGAAATCTGACCATATATAGTGTCAGTGCTATCTAGCATCAGACTTTGGTTTGTCTTAGGGGCATTAACTTTTATTATGCTACAAACAACAACAATAGAGTGTGTAAACTAACATGGTAATTACAGGAAAAATTTTAGGTATTGACTCAGTCATATGACATTACTTGGGACCATTGATCAAATTGTGTCAGTTCCAGGATCAACGAGTGTCAGTGTTTTGGGATGTAAAGACCTTATTAATAGTGTGCTGTCATGGTCTTTGTATCACCATGGCTTCTTTGAGTGTTTAATTAAATATTACCTTTTAATTGAAAAAAGATCTTTGTCTTTATACATCTCAAAACTGGCAAAAGATACAGTGCTAAGTGATTACATAGGGAGGCCAAAATTGGAAACAATATATTAGCTTAAGAATGAATATTTTGCATTGTGAAAATAAAGTAGAAGGCCTTATAAGGGAGATATTTCAGAACTCTATGCAAACCAGCATATATAATATGTACAGTATTCCCATATGGAGTTAGTAGATGATTCAACAATTGCTACTGATTAAAAAGGGCTGGGAACTTTAAGGTCATGCTGTTAGAATTTTAAGCTGATATTTTTTCTAGTCTGATCAGTAGTGATTGCACTGGTCTGACAATATGTGTTGTAGATTTGTTTTAGGAATTACTCAGGAATTTCTATTCTATTTGCCTGGTAACAGCTAAGTGTGTCCCACAGGAACAACTCTGATGGTAACATTTAAGTTGGGAAAATGGCTTTACTAACAAAATATCCCCTAGATTTGACACCAAAGAAAAACAGAGAAAATATCAAATCCTAGTATTACTAGTACTAATAAAGGCATTGTTATGCATCAATATAGTACCAAAATCATATACTGCATTGATTTCCTTGCAGGGAGATTTGTATCACCTATGTATGCTTGTAAGTTTAAACATAAACTGTTTTTAAATGCACAGGAGAAAATTTTTTCATTCAAAATCCTACACTTAGCACCATAATGCATTGGATCAATTTTGTAATCAAAGAATGATATTATACTGGCTTCAGTATACTCTCCAATAACACCTCTGTGGCTTAACTCTTAAGTTTTTGTAATTTTTGGTTTGGAAATGGATCTTCCTAACTCAGTTTCTAAGAGCTGTGTGACTTGACACTGAGCATTTCTGTATTGGAGGATGAACTGACATATAATCACTAATAATAAGTAAAGAATTTGGCATATGAATACATTAGTATATGTCAGATAAGAAAATATAAACAGAAAAGGCATCTTAAAATTTTTAAGGCACTTATCCAGTAAAAAATGTATACAAAAACATTATTACAGCCTAATAACATGAAGGAAGGAAGTTCAAAAATAGCTAGTCTGTCACAGTCCAATTTGAAAATCCATAAAGTAGTCTTATTTTTCACATATGGCTTGTGTTTTACATATGCTTTAGTGTACTAGAACTGCGTGAGGGAAAAAGGAATTGAAGTGCAAGTCCTCCATGTGTATGATCTACTGTGATTATATATAAAGTGTGTGCTTGCATATCAAAATCTATTAGTTGTAATTTTCTCTCTGATTTTTGTTTAAACTTCCTTTTTCTTCTTTTTTTTTCTTGTTTTAGTTTTTTTGTAGGTTTTTTTTTGTTTAGGTTTTGTTGTTGGGTTTTGGTTTTTCTGTTGGGGGTTCATTTGGTTTGGTTTTTTGCTTGTTTGTTTGTTTGTTTTCCTTTTCAATTGCTGTAACAGATTCTTCAGTGTCTTTCTGGTACCTTCTTTTCTGGAGCTGTGGACTAAAAGGCAGTCCCAGTGGAGTTGCAGTTTCTGGATTCCACTGCTGCTATCTGCTTATTCATTCATCATGAACCTCCTTTGGACTTTGGATACACCAATAATATTTGTCTAATAATATTGAATGACTATTGCCTGGCAATGTTTGTATGTTGTCTAAGGCATTCAAGTGAATGTTTAACTTTGTTTATTATCATGCTTTTTGTCTGTGCTGAGCTATTTATCATTATTTGTAGTGGCTTTGCAGTTTATTTCCTTGATAGTTTGATTTTTTAATTTACATTTCCTCTTTTCATCAGGATACAAATGTGCATCTTCTAGACGTCACTTATGTCTAAAAGAGATCTTTTAAAATTTGGGAAGCTGATTCAATTTGATTGAAAAAGTGCAGTTGAATTTATTTTTCCATTGTCAAATACATCTCCTACATGTTGCAGGAGCCACTTCACTGTTGGACCATTCCACATGCTACAAAAACATGTGATTTAACTGTATTTTTTTCATAGCGCGTGCTTTTCTGTTTGGGGCTCCCTCTTCTCCTAGTCTATTTCCTTCTGTGAGCTTGATCCACAGTGCCCTAGCTCCTTGCTTCATTCCTCTCAACTCTGCACATCTATGTACAAAACAGTTTATTGGAAATACTGTAGGTGGAGGGACCCACACTTTGACCAGAAAATCAGAAAAATTTCATTGTACCTCCTCTCCCCATATTTGTGGTAGGGTATTTTTATTTTTATGAATTAAATTTTATTAAATACAGAAAACTGTGAATTTGGGAAGTGGTAGGCAAACATAAACAAATCTTGGGATCAGATGTGCTTTCTTTGAAATATATCAGCAAATGCTCTTTAATGACTGTGTTTTGAATACGCTAGAGGCTGTAGGGTACTTTACCCAAAATGCCAATAAACAGGCTTCATAATTCTGCAGTCAGTTTCTATGAGATGAAGGCATTCTGCAGAAAAAGAATTTTCAGGAGTTAATCAGCTACTGGTGAGATATAGCTTAATAAGATGGGCCCCACATAGGACGATCAAAAGAAAACCTTATTCTCTCATTTTAAACTCAGCCGAGGTGTCTGTGTTGACAGTCACAGTTCTGCTTGAGTCATGGAAGTTGAATATGCTAGGAAAATCTTCTGACAATGAGTTACCGCTCTTGTTTCTCAGTCAACAATTTTTAAATAAAATTCTCTTCCTCAGCTTTTGACAAAATGTTTTTTTGTAGTTGCATAAATATTAAAACAAAAATAACTTCTGTTATACAACTGATGATTTATACTAATGCTTAGTGTTATTTCACAGAACCAGAGAACTTAAGGTATAGGAGAGGTAGGAACTTGAAGCATTGGTTCTTTTTTGTACAGTTTGGTTCATGTTCAGGGGTGGAAAGTACTGTTGAAGCTTGGTACTTGTGTGGTGTTGGGGAATAAAAGCCAAAATTAGGTTGGGATTCCATTCAGGTTTCATTCAGATCAACGAAGTCTTTTCAGCAGGATGTTTCATGCTGTTTATTTTATTCTGCTTTGAAATAAACAAAGGAGAGTGGCCTCAGGCCTGCTGGATTTCTTCTTTCCCTTTAACTGCAAGTACAATTTTTAGTCGTATCTTCAGCAGCAGAAAAGGGATGTAAAATTGAGGCTTCTGTTAGAACCTCTGCTTCATACCTTGTCAGAGCCATGGTTCTGGTCTGGCATCTCAGGTGGTATCTGTATAAAACAGCTACTATCTGCAAAGAGCACTCTTGCAAAGAGACTGCCTGGCCTGGCCAGGACATTGATAGAGCCAGCTGCATAGAGAATGCAACTCTCTTATGCAAGCCTTGAATACTGTGGACTTGTGTTTTCCAAGGTTGTGCTGCATATCAACAGTGGATTACCGCTACTGTGATGATTTAAATTGTAGAAATTATATCAGGAAGAATTGGTAGCCAGGATAGTTTTGAATTACCTTGTCTTGGTGGGAAACAAAATTTCATGTTTTGAATAAAGAGATGTACTGGTGTTTCTGCATGCAGTGAGGTATCAATAAACTTTAAAAAAAATCTCAATTTGACTGCAGTAAAGCCTGACATTTCTCTTTTTATTTCAAGAACATTTCTGATAGACTGCATTGGGAAAGGATTTTGATTGATTCTGTGGAATCTGCTTTGTCTTACTTCTGATGGCATTATGAGTGTAGCTATTTTGCTAAAGACATATAAAAACTTATATTTAAGAACATTTTTGTTTTGTTGTATTAATTCATATTTTGTGTTGTAAATAGTGTGTTATTTAGTATTCCAACACATATTCTGTTAAACCAATAACAGAGAATGAAGATAATTCCTATCTAAAGGAGCTTAGGCTAAATGATACTGCTTTTTCCATATGTTTTGTACTATAAGAAAAATTACAGTGGAATATCTTTTGCTTGTGTCTTCTAGACTCTCAGCAGAGAGTTACAGCACAGCATACAAGAGCTGAGAACAAAAATCAAAAAGGCAAAAAGAGTGGGCAAGATGAAAGCATGTAAAAACATTCTTTCCCAAGAGTCTGTTCAGTTGGCAGCATCTATCCTTAATGTTTCAACAACTGATCTTGAGGAGATACTAGATGTAGAAGACGAGGAGGTAAGTTATTTTAAGGACATCAGTAAAAAGGAGCTAGATGAGAAGATGCTGTATATTTCCATTCTTGAGGAAAAGGATTTCCAGGTAAAGACTGAAATTTCATTGGGCAGCATCTAGCACATAAATCACAGAACAATTTAATTTAAATAATAAGGTCAGGTTAGAGACTCATAAGGTGGCAAGACTTCAGGCATGCACAAATATAAACATACTGTTTTGAGCATGTGGATGTAGAGACAGTATTTTCCTTTTTCATGAGACTATTTGGCAGGGCTGTACATTATAAATAGACTTCCACATTAATGAAAACAAAATTAGAATGCGTCTTGCTGTGACAGATTGATTTCATTGATGCTTCCTTTCTTGAATTGTGATACCTATTAAAGGTATTTCTGGTAGACAGATGGTTTCTGGGGAAATCCATTGCCTTTTTTTGTTGATTCTATCATACATTTTACTATGAAATATTTGATAGTGTTTCATCAAATCACCCTCTATTAAATAGATACAGTAATAGGATTTCTTATCCATATTTATTTAGGACTGATCAAATAATACATGAAAAAGCCCATACAGTTGCTTTAATAAGTGTCTAGGAGTTGGCCATTATTGGCCTGTAACAGTACTCTGGTCATGACTTAGATTTAATCTTATTGGAGCTTTATATTAAAGAAGCCACAAAAGAGAGTTTTCACGTTGGTTAAACAGCAGTGCATGGTATGTGTATGCACTGATATGGATTACATTCATGAATACAAATATAATGGACTGATCCCTGCCCTGTTTACTAACATTTATACATATATGCCCTATAAAGCGATTCTCTTTGGCAGAATTGTTCCATACTTACCTCATTCTCAGAGTAATTTCTACATCCTTTGTCTTTTGTCGTAGTTGCCACTGTGCATACATGTTAAAACACAAATATACTTAACTATAAATAGAAAACAAATTTAAAGCACAGGTGATGAATTTGCACTACACATACACTACATATTCCATTTATCAGTGCATAGACTCAGGCACCATTATGTTGAACTCATGAAATTTAGATGTAGATCACACATACACCTGTATATTCATATAAAGAGAGTGTGCCATGCACGTTTTTAGGGACACGCACAGACAAGGGTGGGTTTATAAATTTAACAGAGCACTGATACTTGGTGGATAACTTCAGATAACTAATTTTGCAAGCATAGTTCCCACTTCCACATGCTTTTTATTTAATGTATACCCAATTACACATTTCCTTTATTGTTTCTTATGTGTTTCTATTTTTTAGGAAACAGCAAAGACAAAAATGGAATTTGAAAAAGATAAAGAATGGCTGCAGCGTATACAGAAACTTATGGAAGCACAGGTGCTCAATTTATATCTTCCCTTAATGAATTATAATTTTGTACTCTGAGTAGCTAAGTGTTTTTAGGTTGTAATTAATACATTGCATTTGTTATTATGTTGCCATTGATGGTCCCAAACTGTATTGTGATAAGGCAATGTGAAATCTTTGTTTCGTAGTGTTTTGTTTTTATTTCTTTTAAAGGAAGAGTCACTGCATAAAACTGAAGAAATGTTACTCTAGGATTTGTGATAACTTAACAGCTGAAACCAGTGAAACAATGCTGGAGAAAACCAGCACAGATCTTGGCAAATGTTAATTGAATTATTGAAAGAGTGTGTACTGCTTGCTAGAGTGAAAATGATCCATTCTCTCATACCTCTTAGGAAAAAGAGACTTTTTTTTTATGTGCCTTTAAAGTTACTAGTTGTTATGGACACCTGAGGAGTTCATGGGTTTCGATGACCTTTTACTGCGGACCTGTTTCTAGTCAATTCATGTTTTCCTCATAGCCAGACAGCTGTTTATTATCGTGTCTTCTCGCATTCTCTACAATATTTTCTACTGAGACCTCGAGCAGCTTGTTAGTGGGAAGTAAATATTGATTTGGCATCCTGTCAATGCAGAAAGAATGAAAAAATTTCCACCAGAGGCCCCTCAAACATTTTCCTATCGACATTTTCTGGGCAGAGAGGAAAGCTGCATAGAGGATGACAAGTCTGAGACTAGTAGAAATCCCTGCGGGGTCCATTGAGACTGCTGCTGTGACCTGTGTGATACTTTTTCTTCTCTTTCAAGTCTTTTTTTTTAATACACACAGAATCTGCTGGGATGCTCCCCTCTTGTAAGTGATCAAGGGCAGTTTATTGGCAGGTGAGAGCCCAGCTTTTGTAGCCATAGTCAGTTTTTGTTTGGACATCACCGACAACATATACCGACTCTTGAAACTTTTCCATTATATTTTTAGTTGTCTCCTTTATTTAGATGATGGGTAGCTGATGTCTGAAAGGAAATAAAATTTGATTTATAAATACAGTGTTCCTAATGCATATTCACTAGCATGGGTCCATTAGCGATGGAGTTAATAACAGTTAAGAATGCAAATGATTGAAAATATTTTGAAAACCATTTCAGGGGAACATACACATCATACATTTTATCATGAACAGCTTTTGTGTCTAGATTGTATCTTGTGACCAGATTTTAAGAAATGACAGGTTTTCCCTCTTTCATTGTCAAAACTTACTGCCATTAAGACTGCGTAATTGCTGCAGCAGAGGAGATAGAAATATCAGCGTGCTTTTACTGGCTTTGTCAGATATACTGGCATTTTAATTAAACCTCATGAAACTCAGCAGTAAAAGCACAATTATTTATATTCATTTAATTGCCTTAATTTTAAGAATTTTTTTCAAAATCTATACATTTCAAGATTTTGTACATATTACGAGCTCTAAAGCAGGAATCGGATTTATGGAATACAATGAAGACTTCTTGCTCTATCTTTTGTTATCATTCTTTGGTAAATCACTAAAAACTTCATAGCAGAATTTTATCACTTCTCTTTATCTGCTATAGACAGACAGCAAAAAACAGGGCATGGAGAGTGAAGGAATTATTGACTATGAAACAAGCTATATTAGGATTGCAGATGTCAACTAGGGATAGAAGAGCTCATTGCTCTTAGCTGTGTAAGTTTGTGTACAAGTAATTGTGATTTTCAGTGATTTTTGCTCCATCTTGTGGGTTCCTTAGGAGGAACACTGAGGGTGCAAGTAATTTTGTAGCAAGCAGCCCATTTTTAGAATTGTGAGAGGATTACAGTGCTTTTTAGGAGCAGCCAGCTGTGCTTTTCATTTCTGTACATGTTAAGGCACATAGATGGAAATTGTTAAGATTTATTCCTCTGTATTTGGGAGCAGCTCATGGAAGAGCTCTATGCCCTTTAAAATGCTTTACTCGTATCTTGTAGAGCTTGGTTGTGGTTTCTTTTAGTAAGCTTTGGTAGTTCTTCTGATCAGAAAACTAAAGCTCATGCTGAAATGTAAGCTTTCTGTCAGACTTTGCTCATAACAGACTGGCTACTTAGTGTTACATGTTGGCAAACTGTGTACCATTTGCAATCTTGAACAAAGATGCAGGATTGCCCTTTTCTGTTTTTCTGAGTAAAGGTTCTGTTGAAAAGTGCATCAGATCTCCTAACACTGCAGTTTGATATAGGGTCTATTTGTGCCATTGAGCCAGGACTTTGGAACATAATTGCCCAGCAGTATTGATTTAATTGCCTAGGTTTATTTGTGGACTCCTAATTATTGACTGGAGGTAAATTTAATGGAGAAACTTTTATGAACACTGGGAAACTGCTGCTATTGCTGTTATACATAATGAACTGCATCATATCCCTTTAGATCATTCTTCAAACTAATTTTATTCCACTGTGACAGTACGATAACATTTAAAATGTCATAGACGTTTTATTTTTATTACTGACATACGCCGTTTTACTGCTGCATTAGAATTTTGGGGGGGACTGAGGGAAGCACTAGTTGCTTTTTACTGTCATTTTATAGATTTTCCTAAAGTGTAAGGATAAAGGATAGCACACCTCTATTTTCACTTCATCTGTACCTTTATTTTCCATACTCTTATGACTTGAAAATGTCTAATATCTGTCAGCTTTACAAGAATATTAATTTTAGTGATAAATATTTTTGCATTCCTGACACTCACAGGCACCAGTCAGAGTTTGTGTCTTTATTTTATCGACTACTATAGAAACACATGTCAAGAAATTATACCACTGCTTATGTTTTGAAAGAGACATCTCTACATTGGGATGTTATTACGTAAATACAGATCATATAATATGAAAGTACAGTCATGTTATGAATTTGGCAGAGCTGGGAAAAATCACTTACTGTCTAAATCTACATTTGAATGGCCAAGAAGTGGTTTTTTTCTGTTGCTTTTCTGTATTTATATGGTAACACCCTAGAGTGTTTTCACTAAAGAATAAAAATAAATCATCTTAATAATTGCCATTAGGATAAAAAGAAAACTATTCGCTTGCCTATGAAGAACCTGGATGTAGAGAGGCTTCACATGAGTGCATGCAGATAGCTGCTACCTGAATATGAGTAGAGGCATCAGACTCATTATGCATTACTATTTGAGCTCAGGAGAAGTTGGGAGAGGTATGACAATACAGACTTTTGAGCTTTCAATGGTTTATGGTATCTGGGAGGGAACAAATATGGTTATCTCAATATGTTTGTGCATTTACTGCTTGCAAGGCAAGTGGTGGGGCTTTTACCCACTTTATCCCTTACGTCTGTGTGTGTGTGTCTTATTAATTGAACGTAGCTCTCTCTTTTTACAATTATAAACACACACCCCAAAAATCCCCAAACAAAATAGCAGTCTTCTCTATTTTTTTCTTATCATAGGAAACTTAGTAGCTAAAGCAAGAGGATGACTTTTATTTCATTTAACTTAAACATGATTTCTTATATCACTCTCAGCTTTCATTCATTGTGACTGATTGTAAGGAACATCATCTCAGAACAATCCATTAATAATTTCGTATGTGAGTACAGCATGTTAGCCCAACCCAGATTGCTGCCTGAAGTCTTCAAGAACTATTTTTTAGTAAAATGCAAACATCTATCTAACTTTTCCAAGCAGTGAAGCAAATGACAGCATTGATTTAGTATGTCCCTATAAGATCTGCTTGCCTTCTCTCCCTTCTCATGTACTCCTAGGGATATCACATAAACAAAGCTACCTAGTAAAATCTTTACTCTTTTGACTTCATTATGAATCTAAATATCATATTCCAATGGTGAAAACTTCCACAAAGGCTCCCTTCCCTCTGTTCTGTGGGCATTCTGTAAGTATGTATGTAACCCATTTCTAGAACAGGTTTTGGAACAGTATGTTCACTAATCATCAGTAGGGATTTTCCCCAGCCCCTTTTTAGGATTTGCACTGGCTTCCCAATACAGATTTGTGTTGCTGTCATCTGGGAATGGACACCTACAACTATGGTTGTTTCCTTTCAAATTCTTCCAGTTGGAACTCACCTGCTTTGCTTTCATTAGACTGTCTCCAGTCTGTCTTTTCTTTGAACAGGTCTCTACTCACTGCCTGTCCTCTGATCACACCCACATATTGACCCGTGCACAAGCAGCTGCACACACTCACCACTGCAACTCATCACCAGGTATTTCAAGTACCTATACCTTAAAAAGCAGCACCAGCGTAGTCTAAACCATATTGTGGGCACCACTGGCATTGATGCCAGACCATCAGAAAGTAACCATGATTTTGTTCTCACTACAAGAGTAAGAGCTTAGTCCTGTGCATTGACAATCCACTGCAGTATAAATCTGTGTTTTATCTCATACACACAAGCAAAACCATGTTACATCACTTGTTCTGAACTGAAAACAAGGAGAAATTGGCTTGATTACTCAGAATAAGAATACAGATGGGCCCACACATCTTTATATAATCACGTATATACAGTCGTCACAAAGCAGTATAAGAACAAAGAAGTCAGGAACAACAATGAAGTGAAGCATTTCTCTAATTTATTTTTTTTTAACTTTGACTTTTATTTTATGGTGAAATTAGGAGGCTTTGGTTATTGGTCTGAGTTTCTAGTTTTATTTCAAATTATTTTTTTGTGGTTCACTTACTTCAATTTAAATCAGCTCTGCAGTGCATTTGAATAGTTTTCTTGGGCAAGTGTATTTTACTGATGATCCATATGGGAAGATTTAAAATAGCTGTAACCACTAATTTATGTACTCTAAAATTTAAATACCTTTATTTTTATGATAGCACATTTTAGATTTTGTAAAGCAGAAGACAAGTAATGCTACACTCTGCGAATGGAGACACTCTGTCTCATCAGAACAACAACGTTGCCTTGCATTCATTATAAGTCTTTTCATGGGCAAATATGTGTATATTTATACACTTGTGTTGAGGGAGACTCAGTCATGTGGTGTAAAGTCGATAAGTATTACTAGTTTGTTTTTCACAGAAGGGATAGCCAAAAGAAGCAAACTTAAGGTCAGAATAAATAGGTGAGAGAAACAGAATTAACTGTCACCATTTCTGACTTTTTAGGATCATATTACCTTACATATATCCATACACCAAGGTATCTCTCTAATAAGTTGTGTAAGAAATATGCCTTTCATTCATATGGCTTTCTAGTATGAAAGAATAAATCTGTAAGTCTGGAAAGATGTATAAATAAATAAAATTCTTTAAATACACAGGTAGTGGATTTAAAGCTTGCACTTTCAAATGTTGTGAATTTATACAAGTCAATTAAATACTGCTTCTGTTAAAGCCTACCATAATGTAGTGATTTAGGATCACTGCCCATTCAGTTAGATGGATTGTGGCACAGATAATTATAAAGCATTTGAAAGAAGTACCATTGTGTATTAAAATATCTAACTATTGTGGTATAAATAAGTTTTGACTCTTTAGGTGTGCACTTAGCAGTCACTGAACTTCCAAAGCCTTCCCCAAGCACATGACAGGTTTGGAAGCTGGGATAAATAGAGACATCTTCAAAAGTTGTGAAGTTCTAGAGAAAAATGTAAAGGAAAGCTTCCCAGTATAATTACAGAGCCATCATTAAAAGTAAATCTTACAGGCTTCTATTAAAGATGAAGACTCTAGAGATCATCCAGTTCTGGGTGTCTGTGTAGAAAGAAAACCAGATAGAACCATACAGCACTTTCTCTGAAAACAACAAATGTTGAAAGAATGACATAATGTTCCACTTCCAAATGCTCTTGATTTAAATGAGTCATTTAAATGGAAAGGGTTCTTAAAATATCACTTCGCTATCACGTGGAAGCCACAGAGAGAAGTGATTAGCAAGTGAAATTTAGCTAGAATTATATGAGCCAGAGACATCAATAAGAAACCATTCATCTCAGGTACAACATTAAGGAGATGAAATCTATCAGAAATGAATGAAGTCAAGCTAGGCCAGAAGAATTAGCGACTTTGAAGTAATGATATAGTGTTCTCGTAGAAAACATATTTAGACAAAGAGAGAGAGCAATTAGAGTGAACAGGATGCTGGAGTCTGTGTTTTTAAAGCATGATAGCAAATAAGTCTCACAGAATGTCAGGCAAGATTATGTCTTATATTACGCTGAATAGATTTGTGCTCAGTGAATTCGATCCCTCTATTCCCCCAAAAGTCATCACAATAGCACACAGGAGAAAACTGACAGGTGTAGATGACTACTAGAAAATTCTTACCATAGGCATAAGTTATTTATGACAGGTGGAGACATGTCTGGCCAGAAGTACTAGCCCTTTAAAACTCCATTTCCTGTAGAAAAGGGAAATAATGTGTATTATTGTCCTTTTTCTGTAACTACAAAGTGACTGTTCAGCAACATGCAGAATTGCCATTATAGACACTTCACAATGGATGATTGCTATTGATAAGATTTTCCTTGCTACCATTTTAGACTTTTTTTCTGACTTGTTAGTAATTACAAATATCAGTATAGAGATTCATATCTGTATATCAGTTCACACATTACATCAGCATTTGTATTTTATGTACTTTTATGTCTGGGTTTTTTATTTGTTTCTTTTGTAATTTTTGTTTCATATATCTAGGAAACAGGCAGTACTCCATCTGGTGTAGATACTATACAATTTTCTCTTTAAAATGGAATAAAAAAGTGAAAAAATAAAATCAGGGCAGCAACACTGAACTAGACAGGAATTCTAGATGAAAAAGTATTGCATTCAACTACAGTTGTGAAAAGCACAAGCAGGTGATTGGCTTGTTTCACCAAATGCTATATTTTACCAATTTTTTTTCTGGTGGCCTTATTAAGGTAAAATTCTCTCTCCTTCTGATATGAGAAAAAGCTGTTAACTGCTGGTGTGGGGCTGATCCCTCAGTCACCACTGGTCTCTCCAGGAGTTCAAGGAAGCTGACAGAGCTCTGTGAAGCTGATAGAGACTTTTCGACGGTGAACGAAAACTGCCTTGCTCTCCTCTGTGGCACAGCACTGGCCACTCTGAGTGGCACTGCCACGACCACTGTTCTATACCACCTTTAAAAATAATTCCCAGCAAACAGTGAACTGACACATCAAGACTGTGAAAGAAAACCCCTTAAGCATTAAGGAGATGACACTGAAAAATATACCAAATATCTTTCTTTTAAGGCATCAGTTATGCAAATACAACTCTTATACAGAGGAGTTAGAAAAGAGGGTTTCATTTTTCTCTGTAGATCAGAATCACAGAATATTCAGAGTTGGAAGGGACCCACAAGAATCGTCAAGTCAAACTCTTAGCCCTACACAGGACCATCCCCAAGAGTTACACCATGTGCTTGAGAGTATCATCCAAACAGTTCTTGAACTCTGTCAGGCTTGGTGCTGTGACCACTTCCCTGAGGAGCCTGTTCCAGTGCCCAAACACCCTCTGGGTGAAGAACCTTTTTCTAATATCCAACCTAAACCTCCCCTGACACAACTTCAGGCCATTCCCTTGAGTTCCATCACTGGTCACCACAGAGAAGAGATCAGTGCCTGCCTCTCCTCTTCCCCTCATGAGGAAGTCATGACTGCAATGAGGTCTCCCCTCAGTCTCCTCTTCTGCAGGCTACAATATTTTGCTATCATGTTTTACAGAGGCAGACGTTTGTGGCATATTCCAATTAATGCACTTAGAGGTTTGAGGGTTTATTTTGCTTTGAGTGTTTTTTTGAGTGTTTGTATTTGGGGATATTTTTTTTTGGTTTTGTTTTATTTTGGTATTTTGGTGGTGGGGGTAGTTTGGGGGTTTGGGTCTTTGTTTTTTTGTTTATTATACAAGTTTTCATGTGTGAGTCTAAGGCAATTGACACAGCACTGAAAATTATACTGGTAGTTCTGTCTCATCCCCCTGAGAGTAGTGAACATACACTCATATACTACCATTTCTGCATGCCCTAGAGGTGACTGTAACCTTTTATTGATCAGCTGATTGAAGAGAAATGACAGAGATGCTGGTACTGCAGTTTACATCATTAACATGGTCAGTAAAGCATGAATTGTTCAATAAGGAGTTTATCTTTTTTCATTTTACTCTGCTTTTATATCATTTTTATGATAGAGAGCAAATTTTCAGACACTAACTGAGCAGATGAACTTTAAAGATCAGATACGTCTGTGTGTGGTAATTGTCAGAACTAAGTGTTATCTGATAGTTTAAAGATATTTAATAAATGTCTTTCACATGGGAAAAATGAAGTCCAATGATCATTTTTCTTACTATGTTTCTTTTTCAGTTTCCTTTTGCCTCACACTTAATGGATGTCATACTGGAAAAATTAAATGAGAAGAAGAAACTGGTAGAAGAGTACAGTTCTCTCATGAAGCAAACTCTATGATATTGCTAAGACCTATCTTGCAAAGTGTGTCTTTCCTCTTCACATAAAGAACTGTCAATATGCATGTTCAATACAGACATAGAAACTATGAACTAATTAATTGTTGAACAAGAAGAATTAATTAAATTCCTATTAGGAAGCAGTGTGGTATTTGATTCCTGAAGACAGAAGTTGCTTCAAATCAATGCAAAGTTCAGAATTATTTTTCTTTAAATGCATTGGCAGTGAACACTAGTGCAGGCTTTGTAGAGAGCAGATGTCTTTGTTATGACTAATATATATCTGTACAATTTTGAAAGCACAAAATGCACCTAAGTAACACCTGGTTGTACTAATCAGAACAGTAGAAGTAGGATTTACAGAGTGTCTTGGTGTAAATGCTAATTCATGTAGAAAATAGGTCTCAAAAGGAGAGAACTTCTCAGCCTACTACTTTTTTCTCAAAACTTACACATCTTGCTTTACTGGCCCTGCAAACTGCTGTATCTCCTGGGCAACTGGGTATGGCGAGACGTCTTTTCTTGACCCAAGAGTAAACAAGAGCAGTGAATGGTGCAGAACCCAATTATCTACTTCATCTGAAGACAGAGAGCAAAACAAAATCCTTAAACCCACTGAAGCCAGATTTATTCACAGGTGTTCCTGAAATTATAACACTGCTAGTCTTTCTGAAAACTTTGCTGGAAAGGTTGCCAAATATCTTTCAAGATCTTTCTTAATCTTTTAAAGGTATTTTAATGGTATTTTCATTCAACTTCTCTAATTTGATAAACACAAATGAAAATGAAAATGAAAATATCAGTCAGCATTTTTTCAGTGAAAAAACCCCCAAACATATAGTTTGAGATATTTTTGTAAGGAGAATAAAAAGGGTGATATTACAAAGAGAACAAATTTTTGCCTTTCACAAGTGTGGAATTCTGTGTGCAATGAACATACTTGTTTTTACTGCTGATTTGGTCTTTACTCCACCAGCAGAAGAGATGGTCTCTCGAAAATTTTTATTTCTGTAAAAGGATTAAAATTAATTATTTTGATGTTGTTTTATGAATATTTTAAAAATCCCCTTACACTAGAACCAGGCTCATTACACATGCATGATACAAATTTCATGAAGAACTGATTCTGGTTTAGGGAGAAGCATTAGCTCAAGGCTTTCAAGATGATATTTCCAAGAAAGCTAAGCATGAAATATATTAAATGCAGTGCTGTTTTGAACTAACTGTACCTACGAACAACCAGAAAAGCCACTTAGTCCGTTTTTCTCTCATTAAGGTAGTTTTCTATGCTGGTGCTTCCTGATATGGCCTCTAGATGGCAAACTTTGACAAAAAATGGGCTCAGTGCTGGCTGCTGTGAGCGGCCTGTGCGGGACCCCCACGCAGCCGGGCTGGAACATTTGATTACTGCAGCCCCTGAAGTGCTGTGTCGGACAGACCTGTCCCTCGGGCAGCAATAGCTGATCTCTGTGCTTGTGAAATAAGTTGACTAACTACAGCCATTACCGCACAGTGCAGTGACACAATGTGAGACTCTAAAACAGAACAGCTTTTATACATATATATATATATATATGTCTCTGTGTGTATTTATAAAAGTTGTTCTATATGCACACACACGTGTACGTATGCCCACATGCATAAATGACCATACATACATATGTATGAAATATACAGCATTGTATAGAGCTTCAAAGTTGTTTAGGTGTTCTGACCCTCTCAAAAGGGTCACCGAGGCTCAGGCAGCTGTAAGTGAGGAAGTCTAGGGCATGTAAGCTGGCTGTACAAGGCAGGGATTCCTGAGTCCAGGAGCACACAAGCAGCAGCCCCACGACCTGGATGGCTAGAGCAGCCATGGGGAGAGGAGGGGACATTGCTGGGAGCAACCAAGGGGAATTTAAATGGCTCTAGGGAGTGGGGCTGACCCAGAGCACTGGAAACAGGAGTGGGCAAAAAGGGATGTGATACAATAGTGAGGGTGTCACGGCAGTGAAGGTGTCAACAGACAGTTATTTTGCAGAAGGTGTGCTGTGGTTGAAGAACCGTGTTGCCAGGTGAAGGAGCTACAGGAGGAAGTGAACAGGCTTTGTAGTATTTGAGCAAATGAGCAAGAGAGAGACTAATTACATTCAGAGATGCTACAGCCTCAAGACTCTCGGGATTCTCGAACCTCCACTGTAGTGGAGAAGCAGGTGGACTTGGAAGCCTACAACGTAAGTAGTTAAGGGACTGTTGGTCAAGAGTTTGTTAAAGATGAAGGATGGAAGATGATCACTGCACATACCAGGAGAAAGGTTCCTCCTCCTCAGAATCTGACAGGTGGAACTGGTGCCTTCTAGAACAGGTATGACGCTCCAGCACTAGAAGGCCAGACAGCTGATGAGGTAGCCAAAGGTCCTTCTGGGATAGAGGGGCCTCCTGAAACCACCACCTGTATCCTACATCAAGACCTTCTCTGTCAAGAGGGAAAGAAGGATAGTTATTATAGGAGACTCCGTACTAAGGAGAACGGAGGGCCTGATATGCAGACTAGACCCAACTCACAGGGAAGTTTGCTGTCTCTCAGAGGCTTGGGTAAGGGACATTACTAGAAAACTCTCTAGTCCAGTAAGGCCCTCTGATTACTGTCAGCTAATCAAACTGGCAGTGACGAGATAACAAAGGGCAATCAAAAGAGACTTCAGGGCCCTGGGATGATTGGTAGAGGGATCAGGAGCACAGGCAGTGATTTCCTAGATCCTTCCAATAACAAGGAATAATATTGATAGGAATAAGCAGATCCATCAGGTCAACAAGTGGCTCTGAGGTTGATGTGATTGGAAAAATTTTGGGTTTGTTGCCCATGGGATGATCTACTCAACACCTGGTCTACTGACACCTGACAGGATGCACCTATCTCAGAGAGGAAACAGAGTTCTAGCACAGGAGCCAGCGAGGCTTGTTGACAGAGCTTTAAACTAAATTGGGAAGGGGAAAGGGACAAAACCGGCCTTGCCAGAGATGAGCGATGGGATGCTGTGCCAAAACTCAAGAAAACCAGCACTCATGGGATCCCTCAATCTGCCTACAAGGTGTTGGCTACAATGTACCACGCCTGAAATATTTCTACACTAACACACACAACATAACAAACAAACAAGAGGAGCTTGAAGCTTTGGCCCGGTCCCAGGGATTTGACATCACTGGCATAAGTGAACCCTGATGGGATGAGACTTGTGACTGGAGCTGGATTGTCCTGTTAGATGGGTTTCAAGCTCTTTAGGAGGGATAGGCAGGGCAGAAGAGGTGGAAGAGTGGCACCGTATGTATGGAGCTCACAGTTGGGAATGGCACAGTTGAGAGCCTCTGGGTAAGATCAAGGGGAAAGAAAATAACATGGATGTAACTGTTGGAGTCTGCTATAGACCTCCTGGCCAGGACAATGACACCAAAAAATTATTCTTTGAGGAACTGAGGGACACTTCCAAGTCAAATGCCCTTGTCTTTGTGGGGTACTTCAAATTGCCAGAAATTAATTGGGAGCCTCACAAAGCTGGTACAACCTAGGCCAGAAGATTCCTAAAAAAAATGATTGACAACTTTATGGAACTGGTCCTACGGTCCTTTCCAACAGGTCCTTGTTGACTAGGAAAGATGTTCTCCTTCTCAAGAGAGTAGATATCATGAGTGAAGTGGAGATTGGTGGCTGTCTTGGCCACAGTGACCATGAAGTGATTGAGTTTAAAAACTCCATTGACGGAGGAAAAGTGCCAGTAAAACCTCGACTCTGAACATGAGGAGAGCAGACTCCAGGCAGGTGCTGGGGTCCGTCAGTGCTGGTCGCTTTTTAACCATCACCTCCTAAGGGCACAGGAGCAACAATTCCCAAATGTCAGAAGTCAAGCAGGTGAGGCAGAAGGCTGGCTTAGCTAAACAGGAATCTTCTCTTGGACATAAGGCAAGAATGCAAGGTGTATGCCCAGTGGAAGCAAGGTCAAGTCACATGGGAAAAATTCAGAGATGCTGCTTGCTGCTATAGGGAGAAAATCCCTGCAGCCAAAGCCCAACTGGAGCTGCAACTGGCCAGAAATGTGGGGGACAATAAAAATTGTTTTTTCAAATATGTTAATGTCAATAGGCAGTATAGAAATATCATTGGCCTGTTACAGGATGAGGATGGTCATCTCACAACCAGGGACAGACACAAGGCAGAGATGTTTAATGCTTTCTTTGCCTCTGTCTTCAACACTGATGATGGACCAAGGGTGTCTCAGTGCCCTGAGCTGGAGGACTGTGACTGCGAGAATGATCTCCCAGTCGACTCTGAAATTGTGCGGGATCTACAGCTCCATCTGGATCCCTAGAAATCTGTGGAACCTGGTGGAATTCATCACAGAATCCTCAAAGAGCTAGCTGATGTCATCACAAAACCTCTCTCAATGATTTTTGAGCAGCCTTGGGAATCCTGAGAGGTCCCAGCTGGCTGGAAGCTGGTGAATGTTGTCCCAGTTTTCAAGAAGGGCAAAAAAGGAGGACCTTGGAAACTACAGGCCTGTCAGTCTCACTTAAGTGCCTGATAAAGTTATGGAGAAGATTATTCTGTGATGTATTGAAAAATACCTGAAAGACAACAAAATCATTGGTCACAGCCAGCACAGCTTCATGAAAGTCCTGCTTATCCAACCCAATTTCCTTTCATGGCAAGGTAATCCAACTAGTAGATCAAGGGAAACCAGTTGATGTAATCTTTTAGGATTTTAGTAAAGCTTTCAATACTGTCTGTCGCAGGATCCTTCTGGACAAATCATCCAGCACACAGCTGGATAAACACATCATATGGTGGGTGAACTGTTGGCTCATGGGTCAAGCACAGAGGGTAACAGTGAATGGGGTGACATCAGACTGGTGACCTGTCACTAGTGGGGTTCCGCAGGGCTCCATCTTAGGCCCTGTGCTCTTCAACATCTTCATAAATGACTTGAACACAGGACTGGAAGGGATACTGAGCAACTTTGCAGATGATACAAAACTGGGAGGAGCTGTTGGCTCCCTCAAAGGCACAGAGGCCCTGCAGAGAGACCTCAACAAATTAGAAGGATGGGCAATCACCAACCAGATGAAATTCAGCAAGAGAAAGTGCCGGATTCTGCACCTGGGAGGGGACAACCCTGTGGAGTATTTGCAGGACAATGGACGCTTCGTGAACAATCCATATGACCAGTTCTTAGGAGCGGTAGGCCTCAAAGGGCTGTTGAAGTGGGCTCGAAATAAGGAGCTTATCCCCACAGTAAGTGCTGCTTTTGAAGTCCCAGTTTGGGAAAATATAGGAAAGCAGCTGTGGGAAGAGATCAGTAAGGGATCTACAGAGGCAACCCGCTATCCAACGTTGTGATGGCTGTTGACCGAAACACTGAAATCCATGAGAACTGAGCAGCAGATTACACCCTCGGCGTATGCTGCATTAGCTAGCAGCACAACTGAAAGTAAAGAGGGCGGCTTGGTTTCCCAGTATTTGTTTGCCATTCCTCCGATCCCATTGCCAGCTGGTTCCAAGACGTTGGCCCCTCCCCAACTGTCAGCCAGTGACCCAGGAGGGACTGTTGTAACTGCTACGCTGGCTACAGCATGTTCCACCACCAGCAGCACCTTCCCCCACAGCGAGCCCAGTGACAGTGGCTCCACTGCACCAAGCGGCCGCACCGCCAGCCCTGCCAGCCCTGGCAAAGGCCCTTGCCGCTCCCCCGCCGCTCCCCTCACCGCTCCCCTCACCGCTCCCCTCGCTGCTCCCCCACCCATGCCCACCGCCGCCATGGCTCGCACTGAGCTCCTGCCACCACCGCACTGTACCAGCCCTGAACCACCACGATCTGCCTCCGCCACCGCCCCCTCGCTGGGCCTGGCGGGACAGTCTCAGCAAGAAAGAATGGAAGGGGAAGGGGACCGTGGACCAACACACAGCGCAGTGTCACTGTACCCGCCGTTGCCGTCGTCTACACCTTCGGCCTCAGAACTGGACTCTGAGGACGGAAAAAGGGCTACAAAGGTGCTGCTGC